GTGTGTGTGTGTGTGTGTGTGTGTGTGTGTGCGTGCAGGGTGACGGGTACGGCGTGGCAGGTGAACAGTTTAAATTCAGAATGGAGGTTTAGGGCCTTCGTGGGTCAACGGACACTCAGACCATTAAAGGGAGAGGTCGTGTTTCCTGGGATCTGCTCTGTTTGAACGTATTTGTGACGGCCATCCAGGGGGTCACTTCTGTGGTGCTGAAGGGGGCTGTAGTAGAACCCCATGCTGCTGTGACCAGTCCCTTGTCTTTAAATAAGAGCAACAAATAGTAAACACATTGGCTTTAGTGCAGAAAACTGGGGTTTATTGTCCCGTGTGGGTTTTTCTGATGGGATAATTGTCTTGATTTAGTGGGGTTTTCTGAAAAAAACAAGAAGAAAACATAACTTTAAATCTTTTATTCTTGATTATTTTTTAAATTTCATGGATTGATTTCTCACGGCATGTGAACTTAATCATTATATTTGTGTAAAATGATCTCCAGACAAAGTTTTTGTTTTTCGCAATAATTTCTGAGGCAATTTATCATCCAGCTAAATTTGCTATTGTGACAGACCTAATCAGTAATTACATTATATAAAAATGTTGTAACACCTGTAATCAATAGATGCAGGTTGACATGTTGATCTGATTCTAATTGCATCTGTTTATAACAACAGTTAACCTGCTTTATTTAGTACTTCTGGTTTGATGTTTTTGCCTGATTTAAAATCACAAACATTTTCTAATATTGTGCTAATAGAAAACTAAATAACTGGACTCATTACATGATGTTTTATTTTTTCTAAATTCCAATTTTAGTCCAAATCCTCCTCATCCAAATCAAAGGTTTGTTTAATTTAGACTCTTATTTAGATAAAGCTGATGTTTGGCAGCAGGCATCAAAGACATTCCAATCATTTCTAAGATTGCATTTTGATCAAACTGAGCATGAAACTGCTTGGGAAGCTTACTAAAATTTTTTTAACTTATTCTGTTTATTTCTGATTTTTAAATGCACTATATTGTTTTAGGAGAACTAGACAAATATGTCTTGATAACCTATTTGTGTAATTACTATTTTCACGATTAAACTGTGATTTTGTTGAAGTGCAATCTAGTTTGAATGACAGATCACGGTCAACTCAGAATTTACTTCACTTGATATAATTAGTTAATACACACCTTAGTCAGTCACAACACTTAAATTATGTTCTCATTAGAAGTCAGTCTGTTGTTTAATGATCTGGTCACATGATGGGGAGGCCGCCCAATCGATGTGACAGCTTGCTATGGGATGCCGTTTAACGTTACACAGTCAAAAATTACCACAATATTTTTGTTTTATTTAGCCTTTTATAAGAAAGAAAAACGGGTTTAATTTTCAAAGTCAGTTTTTCACCATTTTATTCATGCATTTTTAAATGTCATAGATTACAAACAAAATATTTAACCCTCCTGTTGTCCTCATTTKCTGTATACACCCTTTGTCCTACGGGTCAAAATGACCCGTCTCCACTAAATTCCCAATATAAGCAGCTTAATTGAATTTTAAACACCAAATTTCAWCTTGTATATTGTCATTCACCACAAAATGTGTGAATACTTGAGTTTTCCCTCTCCACTTTAATTTCTATAGCTTAAGAAAGGGAAAAAATGTGCAAAAAGGAGTTTCGAATGCATTTTTATTCATCTCAATGACTCATTTTCTTTTACTTTTCTCCAGTGAACAATTTAAGAGAATGTACAATACAAAAA